ATTTTTGCATATATAAATTGTAAAAATGTTATATATTTGGCCATAAAATAATGAATATAAATATAATATAAATTTTGTTAGTTATATATTATGATTTTTTATATATTTATCATATATATCTAATATATTATGTATTTTTTGTAAAACGTTTAGATCGCTTATTAAATCGCCTAGACTCTAATTAACCGTTTTAGGCACTAGCCATTACTTATTCCCCTAATTTCTCGGGTTCCTGAGGCGCGTGAGCTTAAGCGCGTGGTGACTACGCGATTCTCGCGACTCACAATTTTTGCTTCCCCTAGGGTTTCGTCGTTGCAAATCACCAGTCAATGTTCATGAACATCAGATCCTAAATCTCTATCTGTCTTTCTCACAGAGCTTCGAATCCCTCAATCTTGGAGCTGTGTGTAAAAACCCTAGAGAAACCCTAAATTTCTTGTTTCGGAGAAATTTGTCAACGAAAGAATGGCGTCAGGTCCTATATCCGGTGGTGGAGTTTCGAAGTCGAAGCATAAATGGAGCGATAGTGGCAATAAAAGCCAAAAACGATCGAAACCCACGATTGCGGCGAGACAGGAGAGGTCGATTCCGGTAGTGTCTCCGTCGAACTCGTTTGGGTCGGAGGATAATCATCAGATGATGAAGATAAGTCTGAGCTCAATTTCGAAGCTTGAAGTAAGGAACTTGAAGCGGAAACTACTAGCTGAGCTTGACGAGGTCAGGAGCTTGCTCAAACGGCTCGAACCACGAGGTAACAACAACATCGCCGGAGATTTTGGGCTTGGGAACTTGGAACCGCCTGTACCGAACAAGAAGCTGAAAACAGGAAACGGTGGTAAGAAAAGTGGACAAGGAGCTGCTGCTGATAAAGGTACTGTTCAGATTCTGAAGAACTGCAACAATTTGCTTACGAAATTGATGAAGCATAAGTTTGGATGGGTTTTCAACATTCCAGTTGATGCGAATGGTCTTGGTTTACATGATTATCATACTATTGTTACGAAACCTATGGATTTGGGTACAGTGAAGACTAAGTTGAGCAAGAGTTGGTATAAGTCTCCCTTGGATTTTGCTGAGGATGTGAGACTTACTTTTAACAATGCAATGCTGTATAATCCTAAGGACCATGACGTGCATCGTATGGCTGAGTCTTTGTTGAAATTGTTTGAAGAGAAATGGTCGCCGCTTGAAACACAGTACGAGTCTCTCAATAGGAGACAACAACCAACCCGTGATGTCGATTTTTACCCTCCTGTTTCAACAAACACTCCTTATGTAGAACCGTTACCATTACCATTA